TACTATTGAACGATAGTCTATAGTTATGTAATCAAATTATTTTTAGAAAGTGCTCCATTTTGAATCAAATTTCAATTAACTGCAGTTTATACTCCTTCACTTACCCTCCTCTTTTGTACTCTTGACATATACCTCTGAATGATCCCAATGTGTAATAAGTGGTCAACGTACCACTTTTTCATATAGGTCATTATGAAAATATTGTAATATATTTTACAGCAATATCATAATATATATAATTAATTTGTAGTGAAAAAATATAAAAATAAAAATTATTTTTGTCAGTGACAAGATTTGAACTTAAATATTTCTCAATAAGTTCTTGTATAAGCTAAATAATAAACTATATTGAACAACTTAATAACAAATTTAAAACATCTTATAAGTTATTAAAAAGGATGGATTCATGTTAATAAGTGTTTGGGAATTTTTTACTATTTAGTTATTTATTTATTTTATATATACATATTATAATAATGAGTTCCTAATTATTATGCTTAAAACTATAAGTGTAACAAAAATTGATTAAAACTAAGTGCCTTTATTGCTCTCCTTATTTTTATTTTTTAAAAAAAAGTCAAAGTTAATATATTAATTTTTTAAAGTATTTTTTTTAAGTATATAATATTAATTATAGTTAAATTAAGTTAGTAAAAGAGATTTCAAGACTGACCCAAGAATAAGACAAATAAAGTTTAAGGTTCATAAACTAAAAATATGTACTAATAGGCTTTTGTAAAGGGAGAAAGGTTACATATATCGGTAAAAAGGTAAAACATATAACTATTTTATTTTAAGTATAAAAGTCTCTTCCAAATTTTGCTTTACACTTTTGTTATCGTTGGGTTGGCCTTAAAAAGGATATTAGTTGACCTGTCGATATTATACTATTTTTAAAAAGAAAAAATTAAAATTTTTATATGAAAAATAAATAGATAAATGATTAATTAGCTACTTATATGGACAATGGTATTTTTTGAAAGTGTTGAAAATGAAAAAATCATTTATGGTGTATTTGGATGAGGAATTTTAGAAATTCAAAAAATTAAAAATTCTTAAAATCTGAATTACTTTAATTTCAATTTCTATCATTATTTAAATATTTTGTTTGGATAAGTGAATTCAAATTTTTTAAATTTTAAATTCTTCGTTCAAATATGATAATTTGATTTTCATTATGGATAAAATTGATTATATATATATGGATATTTAAGATTAAATTTTATAAAAATAAATATTAGCCTATTTTAAAATTATTAATAGTTTGAAAAATTAATTTTATATAATATTTAATAATTTTAAAATTATTTTTGAATATTCAATAACTAAAATTATTTATATTTTTTATGTTGACTTCGAAAGAGAGGTGAGATAGATAGGAAAAAACAATAATAAAAAAGAGAGAGAGAGAGAGAGAAAGAGAGAGAGAAAAATGAAATAGAAAGAGGGAGAGATGAAGAGAAAAGAGAAATAGGGGAGAGAGAGATGAGAAAGAAAAGAAATAAAAATTAGAGAGAGAAGAAAGAAAAGAAAAGAAATAGGGAGAGAAAAAAAGGAAAAAAAGAGAGGAATAAGAAGGAAGAGAGAAAATAGAGTATGAGAGAGAGAGTGAGAAAAAAGATATATAAGTGAGGAAAGAAAGAAAAAAATATGAAGAATCTCATAATTTTACTTTTTTGAGAGAATTTAAAATTCTATTATTTAGGAAATCTCACAAATACTTGAATTTCAAATTCTTTGAAAAATTTCCATCTAAACACAACATTTCACTCCCAAGACATTTGAAATCATTTTTAAAAAAAATAAATTACTCTATTTAAATTTTTCATCCAAACATTCTCTTAATGTTTTTGTAATATAAAAGAAAATAATTGTGATACATATTTATATTTTATAAAATGAAAAGTTATATGTGTAAATGCTACAAGTTTATATATAAGAATTGTTCTCATTATCTAAAATTTTTAAATCTATCACTAATTATTCATAGAATATTTTATAAGTTTGTTTAAATATTATTATAAACGTTTATAGAATAAGATAAATATAAATAGTTGTACATAAACTCTTTTAATGAAATATTTTTATGGATGAATAATCTTTATTAAAAAACTTAATTAATCACTTTTAACAAAAAAAAAAAAAATTCTTCTCTCAAATTTTTTTTTTCATTCATAAGATTCATACTTAAAACCTTAAAAAATTTGAGACCCTTTTCACTTGAACTAACCATTTGTTAAGTCACCATGATACATAAAACAAAACAATGAATGAGGAAAAGGTACATGATTTGTGGCTTTATTAGTGGCATAACACGTGCAACTTTTTTACATGTGAGGCAACATATTTAGGAACTTGCAACTACTTTTTGTGGCATTTGTAGTTGACCAACCTGCATTGAAGCATTTTGTCAATGGCTTGATTGTGAGAACTGAAAGTCCCTTGCTTGCTTTCTCTTTGCTTCAACATTTGCACTCCCAACTACTGCCTTCATTTTCTGATACATTTTCTTCTTCCATGCACATCGAGCATCCATCTTTATGACAATTGACATCACGTTGATTCAATTCACTATGTTAGACAAAATGGCATCATGTTGATTCAATTCACTATGTTAGACATGTGAAATATTATCCTTTGCCAGATCTTAAAGTTCTTTATATAAAAACGTTAACATAATAATTTTCTACGTATTAATTAAAATCATATTACCAATCTTATCAAATTATTACTTGAAGACCGAAGACTCTTTTTAGAGAGTTACTTAACGCTAACATGGGACCCTATCTGTGGTTAATGATACATAAGGTTTCATTTGATATGCCATAATGTTTTATCAAAATTATTATTAGTTTACATGTTGTTTTGGAATTCAATTGTAAAAGTCTTTGGAGTGTTTCTTAACCTTTTATATTTTCTTTTATTCAAGTGAACAATTGTTTAATATTTTATTAAATTTTTGTACTTTAAATAATAAATAGAAGAAATCATTTTAAAATAAGGGGTGTCACATTTAAAAATAATTACTCGCCATTTATCTATGTACCAAGTTCAATAGTATTGGACGTGAAGGAGTGTACTAGGAAAAATCAAAGTCCTATACTAAAGATATAACAATTAAAAAATATATAAGTAAAAAATAATTATCACTTTAAAAATAAATTTTATAAGGTTGAGTTAAACTCTTAACTCACATTCTAATTATACACATGCATTAAATATTTCTAATGTGAGTATTAAAATTCTTTTTACAAATATTCTGCACATTTTCTCATTATTAATAAACACATAAATAAAGTTAATCTTGATGACAAAAATTTGTAACAGATGAGAAGTTCTTACTTTTAGCAAGAACATTTTCTAGATAATTTACATGAAATTTTATGTTCTTTGATTCGATGTTTAACACTTGTTTTTCTCAAATATAAACACATGAAATATGTCCTACGTAACTGTTAAAATCCCTTTTACAAATATTCTGCACATTTTCTCATTGTTAATGAACACATAAATAAAGTTAATCTTGTCGACAGAAATTTCTGGCAGATGAGAAATTCTAATTGTTAGCAAGAATATTTTCTAAATGATTTACATGAAATTTATGATTTTATGTTTAACACTTGCTTTGCTAAAATATTTTACCTCTATCCAAAATAGTAAAATCTAGTCATTTAAATGTCTTTTTCCAACCGCCAATATTATGATCATCCTAACTAGTTATGCAAATATTGAAGTGTTACACGATAATACTTAATCAAACGTGCATGGATTCTCTCATATCGCATCAAATTTTTATCTCCAATACAAATCATAACCATTCATTATATTTTCTCTCTTCTTTAATTGTTGTACAATAACCAATAAGACTCAAATGCTGTAAGATTTTGACAAGAGGGTGACTTTGCTAGAGATGATTCAGATTCTACTCTAACCTACACAATTAAAAGTTTTCGTTTGACAGCATCGAAATGGATAACATCACACCCTCCTATGACGTAAAGAATTACCCATTCTGTGATCCAATACATTGTTGTAAACAATTCTAAAATTAGGAAACTTTTAATTGGAAAAATGGTACTAATCAAAGTTAATTAATTGTGATGTAGAAATGAATTGACATTTTTATCTTTATCTTATATATATATATATATATA